CCCAATTATTTTATTTCCTGTTATTTATTATAATACAATTATTTCTTTCTATTCACAATATATACACAGAGTACACGTGATATATTTGGATCAATTTCTAGCTGTGGTATAACACTGGTATCAATCAGTGAATTTCTGACAAAGACAGCATCCCAACCAAATCTATCCTTTAGACCTGTTTTGATTATTCCAAATCCTCTATGGCTATTCCAGTATATATAAAGCTTGTTGCTCACACGTGAATTCGTACGCACAACCTTACTTTTATCACATTGTTGACATAATTGAAAGTCGCTGTTTCTTCGACATTGAAAGTAAGGAAATGCGGATAATATTCTTGTACAAATTCAAACTTGGTCATAGTGCGACCGAGGTAACGCGAAACATAAACACTACTTTTGGAAAAGTTCTGTAAGTGATCGAACTTTTAGACGTTAGTTCGAAAAATTTCGGTAGTGATACAAATCTCGACAATTTGCCTCGCGGCCATATGCTGTCAGTGGTTGATGACAATGTTTTGAAAGATATACTTGACAGCAGACTCGCGTTTATCAATTCGAAATATTGTACACAGCATCAGCGTTCGCTATTCGAGTATTTCCTGACACCTGACAACCATGGGAAAGGGAAAAAGCTTGTGTGCCATATAAACTGACTGATAAAGACAAACTTCGCTGCATGGAAATCAGCTCTTCTTTGCTTTCCCGACACAATAATGAAGGAATATTGAATCGAATAGTAACGTATGATGAAAAGTAGATTTTTTATGACAAGCTTCACGTTCTGCGCTATGGTTAGATACTGATGAAACTCCAAAACACCATGCCGAAACCAAGCCTTCATCTATATAAGATTTTAGTGTCTATATGGTAGTCTGCTAAGGATATTGTGCATTTTTCGTATTTGAAAAAGGGTAAAACTTTAAATGCTGACAAATACTACCATGAAATTTATGTTGTGATGGAAAAACGCATATTGAATAGCCGGCATTATTAAACAGACGTGATATATTAAACTAAATAAAATTAGCAGAATACAAATGCAAAGTTCTCCCTCACCCTTCTTATTCTCTTGACCTTTTCCAACAGATCACCATTTGTTTAATCATCTGGGTAGCTTTTAAGTGAAAAAGTATTCCAAATAAAAAGTAATGTGAAAAGTGCATTCGACGAATTTCTTGCATCTCACTCTTCCAATTTCTACGTGAAAGACATTGATGAGTTTGTATTATATTGGGGGAAGTATATTGAGGTAGATGGAGACTATTTCGATTGACAGGATGTATACATAGTGTCCCGTTTTAAAGTTTTTACTAGATTATCCCTTTAGGAAAGTGTTTAAGAAAAAAAATGTTTTGAACAAAAGTTGTATGGTTTCGAGAGGGAGAGATAAGATGGTGGGAACGATACGACTTTGAATTGTTGTTTGAAATTCACGTGAAGGTTACCTTCAATTTCTTAAATGGAATTCCCTATTTTTCATTCCATATTCTTGTAGCTTATATCAAGAACTTTTCAGAACATTATAACTAAATATTTTTTTCGTCAAGTATTTTTCGAGTTATAAGGTTTGGAAATTGCAGTACCGTCAACATTAGCATTACTCAACATAGATATAAGAGCCCCACGATTCGTCACTCCCGTAATATTTGCTGACTCCAAACCGTCTTTGCTGTGTGTTTTAGGTAGTGTTAATGCCGGCGGTACTGCAACTTTCAAGCTTTATAATTCGAAAAGTACTTAATGAAAATATACTTTCTTATAGTGTTTTGAAAAGTTCTCGAGGTAAGCTATAAGAATAATATGCAATAAAAAGTAGAAGGTTTCATTTAAATAATTCAAAATGACCTTTATGTGACCTTCAAAAGATTATCAAAGGTCAAATCGTTCCCATCATCTTATGTTCCTCTTGAAATCATACAATTTTTGTTGAAAATATTTTTTTCTTAAATACTTTCCTAAAGAGATAATCTAGTGGAAACTTTAAAATGGGACACTCTGTACAAAGTGTGCCGAATAAAGGTTTAAATTCAAAATTCAAAAACGACCATTTCATCTGTAATCTAATAAACAATCTAATAAACTGAAATTAATCTATGGATTATTCGCGCGCGTACACACACACGCACACGTTTTGCGCATTTACTAACTCAAATTTAATTTTATTGCTGTGATTGGCCAAATTTCAATCCAATCTCAATCTTAATCTACAATCTGATATGGATATTAGGACTATTGCACATAAATTGACTTAGTTGCATATATATAATATAAGGGCCTTCACACACAAAATGTGTATGTATAGCATAGCTGCTATGCATAACATAAGATATATGACATGGTACAGCTGCATATGCATAATAGCTATAATTATATTATATATATGCGTTTGTGTGTAAGGGCCCTAAGACCGTTTCGACCAATGAGTATGCTTGGTTTGCAGCAAAAAGTTAAATTTCAAAATATTAAAATAGTTTTTCTGCAAATCAATATAATTACTTTATGCTGCAAATCAATATAATTACTTTATGTTAAATGTTCATTTATCCAGACAGTTTTATGAGACGCATATGCAACTATGCCGCTTTATGTGTGACGGCCCTTAAACAGTAAGGAAATTGATTAACCAATCGATATATTTTTTTTAAGTTTATATATTCCAAAAGATAACAGAAATAATGATAAATTTAGCTTTAATCAGAAGTAATTAGGATTTCAACTGGTTGAAATGGACAAAATGATGAACATAAATGATGTTTAGTTATTTTTAAACGTTTTTTATCAATTATTTTGTTCATTATTCGGAAATAGAAACTTCATATGTTGAAAGACAATTATATCAAATATAATTTTGTAACTGGCAGTAACTTTTAGTATTTGATGTTAGATCAAAATAACTCGTAACTGTAGTATATTGAAATAAAATTACCTTTTGCACCATCACTAATAATTCAGAACAAAATTAATATTTTACTTTAAAGTTATCATAGCCGATATTCATAGTCAGGTTTTATATTGGCTGTGATTCGATCTATGCTTACAGCGTTGTAAGTATCATTCTATCTTTATTGTCTTCATTATATGCTAAAGAAAGATAAAATGACACTTTCAGCTTTGTAAGTGTGAATCGGACTACAGCTATATGATCGTCTTAAGTTCACCTTCAGATATTGTACGGCTTATTTCATTACGAAACATCTGAAAATGAACTTAAGACTTAAGTCTTAAATATAAGATTTGACTATGAATACCGACCTAAAAATTAAAAAATTTTCTGTTTCTGTTATTGAAAAAAATCTGTAAAATTTTATATCGATTATATTCATAATTTCTTTAATAAAAAAATTAAACATAAGTCCATTTTTTATTCGATATATGAAAAACTATTTTAATATTTTGAAATTTAACTTTTTTTAATTAATAAAAAAATTGTACTAATGCTGCCGTTCGCCGCCACTGCCGGTAAATTTTTATTCGACGATTCCGTTGCCATCGAAAGCGAAAATTTTCAACGAATCCGCCGCTGCCGATATTATATATAACGGCATAGATGACTATTCGTTATATACCTATCAAGATCTCCTGTTCCTTCGGATTTCAAATTGATAGACAGTCCGAATATTCCTATGATCGATATCCTGTTCTATAATACGTCGTATGTTGCTGTCGGATGTCGAAACGTGGCCGACGGTTCAACTCGTTTTCGAAAAATAAATTTTCTCATTAGACCATTCGGTTACCTTCCGATAGCGACATACGCCGTATTGTAGAACAGCCTTCTGAGACAGTTGCGACATACGTTTACGTAAATTCTTGTGCGTTGACTTCCGACTACGACTTACGCGTTTATTATTATGTCGGAAACAGTTCCGATAATCTTTGTACAAAAACTCTAAAGCACCATCCTTGGTTGCATTCAGCGAATACAACGGTTGTGCAATGATTTAGTAATTCGTCAACATAATTGGTTTAAATTTAAGGATCTAGTAAAGACCAATAACACTGGTATACAATGGCCTTTTTTAATGAAATAAGTCATTCCTTATGTTTATCTGTGCGCTGAGTTTACATCTGGTCGCAGAATTTGCCTATCACCTCAGGATTTTGAAATATCCTAACCTCAAAGCGAAAAAACGCCATTTTTTAAGGTTTTTGAGTTGAAGTAAAAATAAAACGAAGCGAAATAATTCTACCGACAGGATCGTTTCAGCATGAAAAAATCTCGAAAATCATATATCTTCGTGAAGAGGGAAAAATATTTTTTTATTCACAGAAACAAATAACTTGACCTAATGTGATCACGTTTTCGGCAGATACATCAAATATTTCAAATGTATTGGATTGATTTTCGTAAAATATGGTACCCTAAAGTTTTTGGGGTTGCTGATCACAAATCCAAAGTTAAAAATTAGAAATATTCAAATCTAATATGGCGGATCCTAACGAAAACCAAAATGTGACATTAGATAAAGTTATTTGTTTCTGCATATAAAAAATATTTCCCTTCTCCAGAAAAAATATAGTTTTCAATCGATTTTTACATGCTGAATATAATCTTGTTAGTAGAATTCACGTATGTCGCTTCATTGTTATCTCAACTCAAAAACCTCAAAAAAGAGCGTTTTTCGCGCTTTCATCTTTAGAATATCCCGAAATTCTGATGTTATATGAAAATTCTGTGTTCGGATTTGAATTCAGCACATCGAAAAACACAGGAAACGACTCTTTATTTTAAAAAAGAATTCAAGACCTCTCAAATTTTCAACTGCAGCGTTGCTTAAGACCATCGTGTCCAAAGGTTTTCCGTTAATATACTGATGGATCTTCCTGCATGTGTTCTTGTTTTTTCAACTTTTTTCCGAATTATTTAAATTTTAAGGATTTAAGTATGCAAAATGATTCTATCATTTAAAATTTCAATCAATGTAGACTTATTTCTATTTACAGTTGTTTGTAATACGAATTGATTATCGTTAAGATATATATTTATCAATAGCGGACCTGGAACGCATTGTATAGGCTCTGGTTCCCATTGACCGTTCTCATTACAGGTTACACGATCTCTTTGTCTTGAAAGTAAACTTTCACGCCGATAACTGTTTCGGCAAGCCAACGTCGCTGTTGTTCTTGGCGAAACCGGAGATTCGCATGACACCCAATTGCCGTTGTGTATACATCTAGCCTCAACCGATGCCGTACTTAAAGCTTCACAGCGTATTTCTATCAACATTTTAAATATGTCATGTACACGAGCAAAATTTCGATAGTAATTGCTACATTAAAATATTTCATATCTAGAAATTGTAAATCTACGTTTCTAAATAATTACTTCTTTTTAAATATTCGCAAGTAAATACTCCTTAAAATAAATAATTATTTAAATACCTGCACAAGTTGGTATATTGAGCCATTTTCCTTCGAGACTACAGCTAACAAAGGTAGGACCTTTTATTTCATAACCCTGATTACAAGAGTAGACGAGATAAGATCCTGACTGCAATTCCATTCCTTCTGGAATATCACAATCCTGATCACGCATACAATCGATATGCGATCGATGTAGTTTCCAATGACCATTTGGTGGCTGCGAAGGCGTTTTACAAAATCTTGCGCTTGGTGTTACAGGAGGAAGCGAAGTTGTTCGTTCTGTCGGTTTTATTATTGGTGTCGTTACTGTTGTGAACGGTGATGGCCATTTGGTTCCACCACACAATCTTACATCCTCGTCGGATCCATCGGCACAATCATTTATTTGGTTACATCGTTTATCGCCGTCAATACAAGCTCCATAAGCGCAACGGAAAGCCGCTGATGAACAACTGCGAACAAATTGATGTTCCTTATATTATTTGTATTATCAATGACATACGAGCTACAAAATAAATTAACATTTTTATTAAAATATTAATTAAATATAATTTTATCATATCTCTTCTTTAATAAATATATTCGATTTTTAGTGAAATGTGTGTCTCCTTTGATTTTATACACTATAAAAATCGTTGATCGTCATTATCCTAAAGTCAAAGTAATTCCGATCAAATCTCATTTTTTTGCTTTTTCAATTTGTCCTCCTAGTATATATTTTTATAAAATTTGTGTACCAGTTTATATTATATATATAGGTATAATAAACCTGTAGATATCTATTGCATTAAGCAGATTCTGTATTCGACATTTTTTACCAGCTTTATGAGATTGTCTGCTTATGTGATCGTCATTATCCCGTTTTACCCTAATGTAGCTTTCCGTCATACATTTCCGATTCAGACCAGTAATCAGGATACAAAATCATATAATGTATAATCACGAGAATATTCTTTTTACATTTACTTACTTCTTACACATTTATTACACTTTAATAACGAAGAAAAAAACCTCACAATAAGAATATTAACAGCAAGTTTCAATAATGTATATATTGATATCTATTGATGTATAAAACGTTTTTCGTCGACAAAATATTCTAATATTCACATTTAGTTCATATCATCACATATGTCAAAATGTATTATTTTCAAATTATGTTGTAAGCGGTATATAAATGCAACATTAATATATGCATTAATGGCTGTGTCTTAAATTAACTGTTAATGCTGAAAATAGTTTTTTTTACATATTCCATTGATTTTCAATACTTGCAATGAATATTCGAACACAGCCAATAAATCAAGTGGGAAATACATGTTAATAGACATAATTGATTTTGCAATTCGCGCTTTTGTCGTAATAGTTACGTCATGCACTATAAAAATAGACACAAATTTTTTATAAATAAAATGTTTCCAGAGACCGTATATACACTTTTTCATAAAGAAAAAAATGCGAGAATAGACGTGATTATTGTTGTGCATAAATCAATTATTATTATTATTGTTATATATTGAAATGTTTCATGATTACATATTCCACATTTTACTATTAATCATCTCTTACTGTGAGGAAATTTAGAAAGAACGGGTTGCGCACATTTATCGAGCGGAATAGGCGGTTATGGATAGCGTCACGAGTACATAGAGATGTTGCCATCTATCTTTCGAAAAGTCCGTATATCGGAAAATAATATTATTATATTTAGTTAGATTTGGCATAAAATATGGTTAGTGTTTGGGATATGTTAAACATTAAAACATTTTTGAAAAAAAAAACTGAGAGCGCCATTATGCCAAAGTACTCTTTAAATTATTACATTTTCGTTGAGGAAGTTTTTTTTCTATCTGTTTTTTTCACGAAACGTGCTCCGAAAGAAAAATATCGATTTTTTTTTCAAAAGTACTCTCAAAGGGTGTTTCACCACCTAAAAGACTGATTGGGTATATATACAAAAATACATATCCCTTATTTTAATTTAGACTATAACATGATTTCGACCGATTAAATAAAAACCGAACTTGGACGTCCGATGAACGTCCTGTGTTGTCTTAATTACTGTTTTTATTTTAACTAAAGAAAAACCAAGTAATGTCGAAGCACTTCGTAAATTAGAAGAGTATAGAAAAAATATCAAAACGAAAGCAGCTATGTTCTTGTCCATATTGGCGTTAAAAAAATTTTAGTAAATATTCAGAAAACTAGTACCGCCTCCGATTAACATGACCCCGACGTATGTTGTCAAGGGCATGGCCCTGAATAATATTCAAAAGATTTTATACGGCATTCATTGTTCATAAAAAAATTATTAACAAAAGAAGTTTGGAGAATGTACCAGTTAAAATTATTTGCTATGTGTGTAATTGTTTGATATATTATGTGAATGTATTTTTACGCACACATATGTATGTATATATGTTATATGTATTATTACGCACACGTCCTCGTTAGTTAATCTAACCTAATTCAATCCATTACACTGCTAACATTCACAGCGATACATACAACATATACACATACGTGTGTGTAAAAATACATTCACATAATATATCAAACACTTACATACATAGCAAATAATTTTAACTGGTACTTTTCCAAACCTCTTTTGTTAAAACTTTTTAATGAACAATAAGCGCCGCATAACATCTTTTGAATATTATTCATGTCCTTGACAATATATGCCAAAGTCAAACTCATCGGAGGTGGCACTAGTTTTCTGAATAATTATCAAAATTTATATATATTAAAATTGTATAAAGTTATTAAACAAAATTTATGTTTTACATTTTTCTAATTTCTACTTCACATTTTAAACGTATGAAAAAGCAAAATTACTTACGCAACCGATCCACATCTTGCAGATACTTCGTCGGATTCATCTGTACACTGGGGTATTCCATCACATACGTAAATATTGCGAATGCATTCTCCATTGTCACACATAAATTCATTTGTTTTACATTGTATATTTGTTTGATTATTTATGCCTGTCGTGCATTGGGGCAGCGTTTCGTCGCTATTATCGATGCAATCCTTGATGCCATTACAAACGGCATCGCCGTTTACACATGCACCATATTTACACCGAAAGGCATAATCAGGACATAGAATCTCCATTTTTGTGCACTCGGTCACTGTCTCGTCGGATTGATCTTTACAGTTTGCTTTACCATCGCATAATAATTCACCTGCTATACATTCTCCGTCGTGACATTGAAACATCTCTAGCCTATTTAAACAATCAAAACAATCTCGTGTTTATTTGCTTGACTTTGACAAATTATATTAAAGTAAAAAGATAAAAATATTTAGATAAGCGGAAAATAGAACGAAATAAGACATATTTATTTAAAAAAGGGGACATTTTTCGAAAATCGCGAAGTTACCTAAATAGCCAAAAGTGCGCAATCAGATTTCAAGTAGTCGGTCTGTTACAAATTTTTGATTGAAATTAGCAGAAAGGTAATAAATCTAAAATAGGATCTGTCCTATTAGATTATATTGCCAAACTGCTGCCAAAAATCCGACAGAGCCTGTTAACAAGCAATTAACAAAAGTTGTCGGAGTATTTTACAAAAGAGCTGAATCAATTGCATATAGTTATATGAGAATATTTTTTTATTGTCATGTATACTGCAAACATTTTTAGCATGCGACTTCTCACTTTTGACGTCATCAAACAGGACTTCCTTGACAAAAGAGCAAGAGTCTTAAAAATGTTTCCTTGCTTTTTTTTTTATTATAATGTTGACAATTGTTATTGTTCTTTTTTCTTTTTTGAAATCCGCTACAAATTTATATATTTTTTAAATTATAATAATATTTTTATTTCTTATGTTTATATATCGATAGTTAATATATCGATGTTGTATCTCATATGTATATATCGGGTCATCTCATAAGTTAAATGGTATTTTGCAATTTCGAACCAAGTTAAGATATCTTGTTCAAATTTTTTAAACCACAAATGAAGTTTTTTTGTTATAGATTGGGACAATTTAAAGTCTGTTTTTTTTTTCGAGGAACTATTGAACTAGTACACACTAGTGTAGCGAAAGTGTAAAGAAGGTACATTCGTTTCAACTTATTACACTAATTTAGAAGTTCTTCGAAAAACAAATCTCTTATATCGATAGCTTAGTCATAGCACAAACGTTGTATGTTCACTGCGAACTATCATAAGTTATATATGACTATTTTTGGCTTCCGAACCAACTTCATAAACTTATAAATTGAGTTTTCTCAAAATATCAAAATGTTTACAACTCAACCTTTCTGAGAAAACTAAAATTTAAAGTTTGTGAAACTGTCCACAACGCCAAAAATACTATTCTATATATATGACATTTTTATTATAAGTTTCGATTATTATTTGGTTATTATTTTGAATTTACTAACAATTTATGATTGAACATACATTTGCACTACGATATACGAGATCTGTTCAAAAAATATCACGAATTTTGAATTTCCGCGGGTTACGTATATTCGATTTTCGATTTTTTTGTGGCGTTATATTGGTACTCATGTCCTTCACTTATGCCGACAAGCTCGGCAATTTTGAATATTCAGTTTATCTTTGACAGCTGTTTTGCTTGGACGTGTTTTGGCTCGTCTTCGATTTTTGCCTGTTCCAAAAAATGGATCAAAGAATCTGTATCAAATTTTGTGTGAAAAACAAAATTAAGTGCGCGGACGCGGACGAATGTTGACTGTGGCATATGGTGAAGCTACCTTGGACCGAAGCAACGTTTATCGGTGGTACAAAATGTTCTCAGAGGGCCGAGAAGATGTGAACGACGAAGAGCGTGCCGGACGCCCGAGCACGTCAACAACAGACGAAAACATTGATGAAGTGAAGAAAATAGTATTGGCCAATCGTCGAATCACCGTTAGAGAAGTTGCTGAGGACCTAAACATATCGATTGGCTCGTGCCATTCGATTTTTACTAATGATTTGGGCATGAGACGGGTCGCCGCGAAATTCGTACCAACGCCCCTGCTCACACATCGTTGCTTGTGCGCGAATTTTTGGCCAAAAACAACACACTAATGATGCCGCAGCCACCGTATTCCCCAGACCTGGCCCCCTGTGACTTTTTCTTGTTCCCGAAACTGAAGAGGCACATGAAAGGACGACGCTACGCTACGATTGAGGAGATAAAGACGGCATCGAAGGAGGAGCTGAACAAGATCACAAAAAATGATTTTTTGAAGTGCTTCGAGGATTGGAAAAAACGTTGGCACAAGTGTATAATATCTGATGGGGATTACTTTGAAGGAGACAAAATAGATAATCATGAATAAATAAATAATTTTTGAAAAAACACAAAATTCGCGAAACTTTTTGAACAGACCTCGTATAAACCTAATGATTTAATATATAAAGTCAGCGGCACACGATGCTTGTTTTCGTGCTGGATTGTTTGCTGGATGGAAATACTGCTTTTTGATTGTCACCCATTTTTGGAAATGCACAATCAGAACGCAGTATTTCTACACTGTATGTCGCCGGCTTAAGACATAAGAATATGTAAAAAGAAAAAAGGAATACGAATAAATACCATGTAATTTCTTTTATTGTTAATATTTTCAACATAAAACTTTGCAATATAGTAAAACGAATATACATAGATATTATGTGGATGTCTTCATAGTTCACGTAATTTTCATGTGAAATCCGCGTCACACCAATGATCGAATCCACGTGGATTCGATTACCGTTTATGACTGGATGTCCACTCGAATATCTATATGAATTCTACGTCGCTAATCCATATGGCGATAACATGGATTTTACGTGCTGTCTTTGCTAGGAATTGAATGGCGGATCTGTCAATCTTTGTTATGTTGAGGCTGAACGACACTTTCGGTTCTGATTAGGTTAGTCAAACGTGAAAAAACGTCACTCGAATGAAGAGTCCGATCAGGAAAACGCTCTCGCTACAATCTTTCAGCTGTAGCGAATGCACCGCGACATTCACCCAAAATTAATGTCATATCATATGCTTCTTCGTTCGAACAGGACATGGCTATGGCTATGATATGAGTTAAGGCTCGGCTATCTCGCTGCAGAAAGTCAGAGTTGACGTCTAATGTGGTCTTTAATAATGGCGAGAATAAGAAACAACCGAATATACGTAGTTCCGAAGGTAACAAAGCGTTTAGAATAACCTAATCAAAACGGAACGTAGTTATCCTTAGAGCTACTTAATATACATATGCATTTTAATATACATATGCATTGCATCTCTCATAGCCCGGTGCAATGTTGCCAGATGTTTGACAATCGATGTTGTCAAATGTTAAATGCGAGTTTAAAATGTGCATCAGTGATGCGATTTCGAGCTCGAGTTTGCCAGCGTTTCCCTCTCCGCTATATGTAGAGACGTCCTCACATTCGTCTGACACGTACAGTGTACGTATCACTCGGATAAACGGAGCATCTCTACATGCGTAGTGGAGGAGAAAAACTGCTGGCAAGCCCGAACTCGAAATCATATCGCTTCACCTTTATTCATGTTAACGTATAACTATATATTATGACATACTTAATCAGAAACTGAGGTCTGCGTGTGTCGCGTGTGCTTTCATGTTTTTAGTCTCAGAACCTTTCCACACATTTTACAACATTCGATGCTATCCATGAATATTCATAGAACATTTATAGCAGTGTCATTTGAATATACTAAGAACATACAATGAAAATTATGAAAACAGTATGAATATACAAATATTCGTAATGAATATTCATAGAATATTCCCGTGCTACATCTGGGTTGGCACATTTTATTTTCTTCGTAATAAGATATGAAAGGTTCATTATCACATGCTATTTACATCCACAAATATAAAAACATAATTATGGCTTAATACGTCTTTTAACAAATCTTTTATTTTTGCCTTATTTCATAAAAACAAAGACGATAAAAATGGGAAAAAGTTGAACGCGAACGCCTCATAGAAGCGGTCTACGCAAAAAGACGGTCAGTGAATAGGATTTGACTCTTCGTGTTCTGTTTTTTGTTTTTTTCCTTTTTTTAAATAAAATAGTAATTCTTTAATTACTTTGTGAGTGAAAAGACAGAAGAATAAATAAATTTTTAAATGCGAATTAGAAGACGAGACAGGGAATCGAGCAGTCGATTATTGTCTTGCATCGATGAAATGTTCAAGTAAGCGTTTATTTCTTGCCTATAAGTAGTGGACATATACAATTATATAATATATAGTCATATATGGCAAATTTTATATATGATTTTTTTTCTTGGGAGTGAATATCAGAACGCCACTATGAACATATAACATTGTTTTAGTACATTCTATAAATATACAAATATTCGTAACGAATATTCCTTGAATATTCACAGAATATTCCAGCGCTCTCTAGGTTATCACATTTATTTTCATGCTAATAAAATCTCAGACAACGTAAGTGTAAAATCAAGGTACACGGCATTTTAAAGACGTCTTAAATATGCCTGTAAAATATCTTACTTATTTTGTAAGACATCTTTAAGACATTTTATGTCTTGATCTTAGATTGTTGTGTTGTCTGGGATATAAAATATTCATTATAACATGCTATTTGCATCCATAAATATAAAAATGCAATTACGACTCAATTCGTCTTTTAATAATTCTTTTTATGCGTATTTCATAAAATAACAAAAGCGGGAAAAATGAGCGTGAACGCACGATAAAAAGCGGTCAGCGATAGAGATTTAGCTTAGAAGAGCCTGTACACTTCAATCTCGCATCTAACATTTAACAACGTCGATTATCAAATATCTGGTAACATCGCACCGATTCATGTGAGATAAAATATTACTATAGATTCAATTATTATATGTGACGTTATAATTATATAGTATAACGTTATACCATTGGTATTAGTATTATCGACGCGATAAAACTGTAGCCAAATTAGCAATTCTGGTGTGGTATCGCAGATGGGAAAAGTCGGAACTATTAGGTTTAAATAACCATTTCCTTCGTTTTTAAATGAGGTGAATGGGTGGTCTGAAACACCCGGTATACTGAAAATAAGACTTGCATAGATCTGAAACAATATTTTTTTTTAATATATTATACATGGCACTCCTCCATCATCGTTACTCATTAGAAGTCACACTAGAACATTCGGAAACCCTTGACACACGAAGGCACACGGTATCCCCACTATTTTCCTACCGAAAATACAAAAACACAGTACGATGTGGGATTCCC